ATAACATAAAATTTACCATTTCAGCTATTTTCAAACATGTAAGTCATGGCATTAAGCACATTCACAATACTGTATCAGCATCACCAGTGTCTATTTCCACAACTTCTTTGTCAGCCTGAAGAGAAACTCCATACCCTTTCGACGATAAATCGTCATTCCTCCTTTCCTCAGCCCCGTAGTTTGTCTTTTGAATGACTACTGACTTCTTCTTGAGTAAATAAAGTAAAACTGAATCTCTTTAACAAAGAAGAGGTACAAAAACTGAGAAAGAAACAAACAAAAGCACCAAAAATCACCAAAAGGTGTTATCACCAAAAATCCTTTGTAATGGAAAGTTTAAAGGATGTATTTTAGGCAGCATGAAAAATAATCCCAGAGGGAAGAGCTGAGTGCAAGAAGTGGGAACTATAAGTAAAGATAGTGTTACATTTGTAATGAAATCTGAGCAAGTATTGAATGTATAAATAATAATAACAATAATTATTTAATTTCTGACATTAAAAATGTAGTAGAAATAAAATATCAGTGCTATGTAAATTGGAAGAGAGATATGATCGGAGTGAAAGCATTCTAAGACTTTTTTGCATTTTTTTATTTTTCAGGGTGAAATTAAACATTTTGATAATTCTAAGTTTTGTTGCATATACGGGTGAAAATAAATAGAATGACTTCTAGAAGAATAGACACAAAAGCATAACCACTAAACAAGTTGAGGAGTGAAAAGTAAAATGACCAAAAAAAAAAAAAAAAGACATAACCTCATTCTAAAAGAAGACAGGAAAGGTGGAAGTAACACACACACCGACGAAAACAAAACAAAAGTAAAAAATGGTTGATACAGTTATAGTAGAACTTAGAGCTTAATATATACCATGAAATTACACTAGAAAAGTAAAAACACCAAAATTAGTGAGCTTATCTCAAACATTCTGAAAAAGAATAGAAAAACAAACACAAAAGAAGGAGCAGGAAGAGAATATCAAAGATGAAATTATAACTTAATGAAAATTTTAAAATACAGTGAAAAGAATCAACAGAGCTGAAAGTTGAGAAGATTTGAGAAAATTAATAATGCATTAAAACCCCTGGCTTGATTAATCAAAAAAACACAATATAAAAAGGATATTTGTAATGGAAAGGAGACATAAATATAAATGCAGAAACTATATACATAACAATGAATTATTAGGAGAAAATTAGCATCAAATGTTTTGAAAATGTAGTCAAGATAGATAAATACCTAAAAAATGAAAATGTCAAAGCTGACACACAAAATAAAAAAGTTGAATAGTCTATAACCATTAAAGAAATTAAATCAATAGTTAAACATCTTTCTCCAAAGAGAACATCAGGCCCAAATGGCTTTATAGTAGATAATTCCCATTTGGTACAAGCTTTCAGAGAATAAAAAAAAAAAAAAAGAGTGTCCTCCATAATAGCTTTTATGGAGCTCTCAAACTGTGATATCAAGGAAAACCAGGAAAAAATTACTCACCAATCTCACTTATGAGCATAAATTCAGAAAATTGAGGGCAGCATGGTTTAAAAGAAATAATACATCATTACCCTGCTGGAATGACTCCAAAAACATAGGATCAAATTAACAATAGAAAAATTCTTAATATTATTCACTACACTAATAGAATAAAAAGAGGAAAATCAAGTTATCACCTCAATGAATACAAAAAGGGGGTTTGATAAAATTCAGTAATTTCATGGGAAATACAACAAATAAGAAAACATTTAAGAAAGAAGAACTTCCTTAACCTGAAAAAGGACATCTACAAAAAGAAAATTAGAACAAACATCATATTTGATGTTGAAATATGAAAGTATTCTCTTTAAGATAAAGCAGCTTCATGGCAAAGATAACCATTCCCATCACTTCTATTACGAAAAAAACAGTAAAATAAAATATCATCCATATCTTACATCAGACACAGAAATAAATTTTAGATGGATTAAAGACTAAAATTTATTCATTTTTTCAGCAGTATGGGATTATATTTTTATGACCAGAGTTGAGAAGAAGTTCTTAACACCTTAAAGCTTAAACTCTAAAAAAAAATCTGATAAACTCAACTACATGATAATTTCAAACTTCTGTTCATTAAAAGATATTATAAAAATCAATGAAGAGCCAAAAAGTAGGAAATCATTTGGCTGCATATATAACTGATTCAGGATTTATGTTCATCATATATAAAGAACTTCTACATATTAATATGAAAAAGAAAATCTTACCAAAACATAGACAAAAAGGCTGCTTCTAAAGTTTCACACTCAATTCTTGAAGAGATCACACTTTATTGCGTAACCACAATGTCATCTGGTCTCCTAGCCTCTTAATATCTAAATAAAATGGATTCAAACTCTCATTCTATGGACTGTGGAAATTCAAAACCTTCCCTAAATTCATCCAAATTCCTGAGAGTGCAGCAGGTGGGGGTGCACCTTAAATTCTCACCGTCCCTTCTGATAGGATTTTCTGACTCGTTAGATTTTTTCTATGCTCTGTCTCATTGCTCTTTTCATCTATTGGTCCTGGTGTGATCCCAAATGTAGAACAGAGGTGCTTCTTCTATGCCCTCCCTCAAAAACAGCAACAAGGTCAAGCTTGTTACCTATACAAAACTTTTACTGGAGATCTGAGAGGCTCAAGGACCCATTTTTAGCCACTTCCCCAACTGATTTTAACTGCCAACTTCATCTCTTGTGGGCCCCCGGCCTCAAGCCAGTCCCCATTTCAATCCCATTTGACCACCACCTTTTCTCCTTCCCACTCTGCACCCCTGGATTGCTTGCTGTTCCTCCTGCCAATCCCCTTATCCTCGGGGACACACCTGCCCCCGAGAATATTGAAGAATTCCCTAAAAGGAACTCTGGAGCCAACTGTTACGATAACATATATTCACCCTGTTGTATTTAAAAGAAAGAAACAGGGGGGCGCCTGGGTGGCTTAGTCGGTTGAGCGTCCGACTTTCGCTTAGGTCATGATCTCGCGGTTCGTGGGTTCGAGCCCCACGTCGGGCTCTGTGCTGACTGCCGGCTCAGAGCCTGGAGCCTGTTTCAGTCTGTGACTCCCTCTCTCTCTGACCCTCCCCTGCTCACGCTGTCTCTCTCTCTCTCTCCTAGAAATAAAAAAATAATAATAAAAAAAAAACATTTAAAAAAAATAAAAAAAAAAGAAACAGGATATGTGCCAGGATCCTCAGTAAGTAATAATCCTTATTAAAATATCCCGTACTTTGGGATTTTTGAGAACGCTCACAATCTGTTAGAAATGAATTTGTAACGTGAGCTATATTGGGCCATACCTCCACAGGCTTCTAGCCTTTTGACTATGTTCTGGCAAATTATTATTTCTCCAGACATTTCTTTTTTGTGTGTTTATTTTGTCTATTCTTTCTATATATTTCACCTTTAGAATAGAAATCTATGTTCCTTTTAACAATAGCTTAACATTATTTATTTTTATGTGAACTTTATAAAATATATTTTTTCCATTGAAGAACATCTGCATTTTAGGGTCAGCTGATCACTATTTTTGCAAGTATTTTTTAAAGTTGATTTTTTTAATTAAAACACTATATAGACACTTATCTTTGATCCATCTCCATCATCTCCAAACCCAAGCAGTTCTCATTGGTGCCACCATCTGCCCTCCCCCAGATAACGGCTAGTAAAGATCGGAAATGGTGACCAAAGTGGTTCCTTAGTCACCACTGTGATTGACAAGTTTCCTAAACTACTTCCTCGTCAGGTAATAATCTGCCTCGGTTTTGAGTTCCTCATTTCTCACAGCACTTAAAATTATTCTCAAAACCAAATGACATTCCATTGATTTAAAAAAAATGACAAAATTTTTAATCAAAATTTAAAAGTCTTAGCATTACAAATACTTGAAACAAAATTAAAGGCACTTCTATTATTGCAGTGGAACTGAATTTGGTGTAAACAGTGATGTTAAAATTAATGTTTTTTTCCTTTATGACGCCACCTCTCTTTCCAGTGTTTTCACTGTCTTGCCTCAGGCATCCACACAAAACACTTGGGAACTGACAGCCAGCACAACTCACACATGTAACTGTTTCTTTCCACACTTCCTTAGGACTTCTCCTAAGCAGTTTGTCACTATAATGATGTTTACAAATTGTGACAGGGAAACTTGATTAGGTGCTCAAAGGAAAATGGATTTCTTATTATGACATTTTAAGACTTCACATTCTGGGACTTTAACACCATCTGTGTAGGAGACGAGAAATGACCACAACCTAACAAGGTCTATAATAGTTACTTCTGACAAAAAAACAAAACCTCCTTGTCACCTCATTTCATAGCAGCCAGAGTAATCATGACCAGAAATCATTTAAGGTTTGGGCTGGAAGAACAGGAAGGCTTACCCAAAATAAGTAATTAAAAATTCAGCCTGAAGCAACCCGTTGTGAAAGTTTCAAGTCTTCTAAATCCCAGTAAGGCAGGAAACCTGTTAAGGGGCTAGGCTGCTGGTAGATTTCAGGATTTCCTTTCTTGACAGAAAATTAGATGAGAATAGAAAAATGAATCTTAAGACTTGTCACATATTTTAGCTTTATTTATCGCTTTTCTCAGCAGGTATCTCGTCCAGGAATATAGAAATAGAAAGCCGGGAAAATACGTATACAGAGTCAAGACAATAAAATGCCTCTCTCCGGACCTAAAAGTGGCCCCTGAAATTAGATGCAACTACCAGGTGAAGAACATAATCTCTATAAAACTTGAAAAAACATAGAGTTCTGTTTTGTATATTGAATATAAAATATACACTTGTTACTAATTTCAATATCAAAAATAGTCATCAAATTAGAAAGTAATCTGATGATTTGTGAATCAACATTTTCTGTTTTTTTACAAAGTATAGTTGCTCTGAAAAGGCGTGATTCTAACTCTGTATCATTCTGGAAAAGGCAAAACTATAGAGACAGTGAACAGATCAGTGGTTTTGGGGGGCTGGAGGAAAGGAGAGATGAATAGGTAGAGCACAGAGGATTTAATATATGATATTTTAAGGTAAATTCATATCATTATACATTTGTCGAAACCCACTGAACTTACAACACCTGGTGTGTTTACCTAATGTGAATTACGGACGGAGGGTGATAATGATATGTCAGTGCAGACTCATCAGTTGTAACGAATGTTCCAGTCTGGTGTGGGATGTTGACGATGAGGGAGGCTAGGCCTGTGGGCACCAAGGAATCTCTGCACTTTCACCTCAGTGTTCCTGTGAACCTAAATCCCCTCTAAAAAATAAAGGTTAAAAAGTCTGGTTGGTTAAAAGTATAGCTGGAAGCTGAGTAAACAACAAAATAAAAGATGGCAGGCATTGCTCCACAAAACCTCCCATTAAGGAATCATAAGCAACAGCAATAAATATTTTAAGAGGAACTGTATGACACCAGGAAAAAGGTTAGCTTCAAGCGGAAATTCTTGTACAAAAACCCATAACCATCTGATCGCGTGCAAAACAGAAGCGTTACAATGGATCGGTGTGATTATATGCACATGTTCTCTCATAACAACGAGAGGTGACAAAAAGGAGGCTTGCTTCGTGTGTCCAGCTTGCAAACGGAAACATGCTTTAGCAATAAGACTTCCTCAACTGAAAATAGAACTTTGGAGTTCAAGTTTGAGCTATACCTTCTTTTGATGATGTTGAGTCAGTTCCTCTCTGTAATCTTGTTCAGAGAAGCCAGAATTTTGCTGGGATATCAGGTTGTTCAAGCATTTCAGAATGTTCACGCTTCTGTCACACCTCTCTGTGGAAGGAAAAGCCTTACTTGATTCGTTTTCATGAGATTAACGCATAACCTTGTGTTCTTTTTTATTTTATTTTATTTTTTACTGTCACACGCATTTTTAAATTTATTTTAACAAGGCTCCCTTAGTAAAGCCATGTTAGGGATTGCCTTCTGTATTGTAAGCACCAGAAAGAAACGGGAGGGTTAGCAACAAGATTACACCAGCCATCTAATGCCGAAGGAATATGTTGGAGAATAAAAATCATGGTAAAAGTAACTTTTGATTCCATATCTGTAAAACATGGAAGCCCTTTCTTATGTGGTCAACTAAAATTTGGCATATTCTTCACATGATAAATTCCTTCGAAGAAGTTGCCTGCTCCAACAGGAATCATTTGCTCTTGGTCCGTACTGTCCCACACCCCATAAGCTCTCCAAACAAAGTACTCTAATAAAATTTTTCTTAAAAATTCAAAGCCTACAGATTTCATATTATGACTATATCTCTAACTTTTCTTATGTATCAAAGTCAGTGTGGAATGAAAATAACTTTAGAGGACTTTTGATTTCCAATGAGATAATTTAAACAGAAAATGGGGTAAGCATCCCCTAAGTTTCTCTTAGATTCAAAGGTGGTTGGTGTATAGCTATGAATATTTTAGTAGATGTTTAACTGAAGTCAAGTTCTGGAAAACTTGATTGGCTAAAATGTCAAATTAGGAAAATTCCATGGGGTGAATGAAGATGTGATTAAACACAGAAGTAAACTGTACACCGTATGAGGGTAAATCTGAAAACTATTCACAAATGAGAAATAAAAAACAATGCCAGGTTCAAATTCAATTAAAAAACCATCCAGACTGTCTAGCTGTACGATACACAGGCAGAAAAATGCTGAGTATGAAACATTACTCAGTGAAAAAAAAAATACTTGTATTCTTAATAGAGGGAACACTTTAGAAATTATATAATTTTCACAAAAGCCTCATAGTCTCAGCATGCGATTTATAAAAGTGCAAAAAGATACAATGTCCCCTAGTACAGTAGACAGCAAACAGACCTAAAGGTTATTATTCAATATGATATATGTATATATACAATTTATTATCTCTGGGAGCAGGGGTGGCTCAGTAAGTTAAGTGACCAACTCTTGATTTTAATCTTATGGTTTGTGGGTTCAAGCCCCGTGTTGGGCTCTGTGCTGACAGTGTGCAGCCTGCTTGGAATTCTCTCTGTCCTCTCTCTCTGTCCCTCCCCTGCTCGCTCGTGCTCTCTCTCGCGCGCTCTCTCTCTCTCTCTCTCCCTCTCAAAAATGACTAAACATTAAAAAAAAGTATTCTGTCAATTTCTGATTGGCCAAACTTTAACCACAAGAAGTTCCAAAGCCATTCAAATTTACTGAATACGTGCATAGGGACGCTTGGGTGGCTCAGTCAGCTGACTTCGGCTCAGGACACGATCTCATGGTTCGTGGGTTCGAGCCCCGTGTCGGGCTCTGTGCTGACAGCTAGCTCAGAGCCTGGAGCCTGCCTCAGATTCTGTGTCTCCCTCTCTCTCTGCCCCTTCCCTGCTTGTGCTCAGTCTCTCAAAAATAAATCAACGTTAAAAAAAATTTCTGAAAAGAATATACACATAAAATAAAAGCTTCTATTTTTCAGAAGCTTTTATTCAAACCTTTTAGGAAAATAAAGAATAGAAACAGATTCTGTTTATCTGAGGACACAAGCACTGACAAGAGCAGAACAGATTGATGATCAAAAGTCTCTTTCTCTCTCCAAACGTTATGATGGATGGCAGAGCTAAACCACAAATCAAAGAGACGTAATGCAATTTACAATGCTTTTAAAAGTTCTTTTATCCCATTCTTTAAATTCTGAAAATGACAGAACATTTACTATGTTATGAAATTATGTTCATACTGAAAAATTTCAGAGAAAAATAGAAATGTTACAGACACGGGTCGGTTCTCCAACTTCTCGTTTCTGCACCACTTTCTTTATGTGCCACCGGGATCCCTCCGTGCCCCAAGCTCTGCTTCTTAGCAAAGCCAATGGCAAACATCGAATGGATTCGATCCCGTTGTTTTGTTGTGTTATAGAAAATAAAACTGAAGGATTCGACCCTGTCCAAATCCTACTTGGTTATCCCCCTTCCAAAGAGGCATGTAAAGGTTGCCACAAGTGGCTGAGTATTTGACTCTCCTGCCCCCACTTAATGATACTGGCTCAGCTTTTCTTTTTTACGTATTGGGCTTCCATATAGACTCTTGTTGAAAGAGTGAGTTCATCTGTATCATAGATTTAAAACCCCTGTCCTAGAGGGTTCGTCTCTGCGCTTAAACTCATTCGGTCACATGCCTCATTTCTGTGTCTGTTAATATACTGAGGACAAGACAGGTCGTCAATAGAAGGCAAAAGACGAAGTGAAAGAGTCTTATCAATCTATATCCCCTAACTCCAAGTATTTCATAAAGAAAATGCAAAAATAGCAAGTGTTGGGGCGCCTGGGTTGCTCAGGTAAGCCTCTGAGTTCAGCTCAGGTCATGATCTCACGGTTCGAGTTTGAGCCCTACATCGGGCTCTATGCTGTCAGCACGGAGCCTGCTTCAGATCTTGCATCCCTTCACCCCCCCCTCAAAATAAATAAACATAAAAAATAATAACAAGTGTAGATCAGGGAAACTCCAGGCATTATTATTAAACAAATGTCCTCATTCCCACCTCTGTAAGCCTATTACCCTTCTACTTACATGCTTTTTGAGGCCCCAGTAGCTTATATTTTCTTTTTATATTTTTCTTTTTGTGTCTACTTTTGCATCCTTATCCCAATAGCTTGCTTTATTTCAATTTAAGTCAGTAAGTTGTTATTTGCATTGGTCATGCCTTATTTGTACCTCACTGTCCTGTTAATTAAAGACATAGGAACATGATTTTGGGATCTGGAAGAGAAAAAATACCTCTGAATCAAACTTCTAAGGAAGAGTGACTGTGATAAACTTTGCAAAGACTCTCAAAGTACAAAATATATCTGTTTATTTTCTAACCCATATCTATCGTGCTTTTACTGAGCTCCACATAGGCCTTTTAAAAACACACTCCAAAAAGACTCAAAATCTCAAGGTGGAAGAGTAACTGGTACAGGTGTGGCCTTCAGCCTTAGACACTCAGAATCTCAGTGTTATCTATCCATTTCCACAGAAACGGGAGCTCTGTAAACGTTGAGCACAGATCACAGGATTTGCAGCCAGATGCAGATGTGAGTTCTGCCAGCCCCTCTTATTAGCTGTTTGTATTCTTTTTTTTTTTTTTTTTTTTTTTTTCTGGGAGAGAGAGAGACAGCGTGAGCAGGGGAGGGTCAGAGAGAGAGGGAGACACAGACTCTGAAATAGGCTCCAGGCTCTGAGCTGGCAGTCAGCACAGAGCCCGACGCGGGGCTCGAACCCACGAACCGCGAGATCATGACCTAAGAGAAAGTCGGACGCTTAACCGACTGAGCCACCCAGGCGCCCCCCTAGCTGTTTGTATTCTTAAGCAAGTGACTTAATCTCCTAAAGAGAGAGAGAGAAAAGAGAGAGAGAGAGAGAAAGAGAGAGAGAGAGAGAGAGAGAGGTCAAGAAATAATACCTGCCTCACAGGGTTGTTGTGAAGATCGGATGAAATGGTACGTGTGAAAGAGTTTTATATACCATCCCGGGCTAACCGTGTTGGTTGGATTGGCTGATGGCAAAGAGAGTGGCTCCCGAAAGAAAGAGGACTCCTTCCTGCCAGTAGGCACCCAGCAGGGATTCCCTTCTGGCAGCCTTTGAAGGCTGATAAGTATCTCCAACAGCTGCTTAAGAGAATACAAGGACCCAGAGAGAGGCCAAGGGTCACGCTCTTTGCTCTTTTGCTCTCAGCTCAAAGGACATCTGCTCAAGATCCCCTGCAGGGAAATCTAACTCCAAGGAGGGAGGCCCAGGGAATGTTTCAAGGGATCCTGGCTCCAATAGCCTCAAGATCCCTGAGGATGTTAGCTTTGGAATTAAGCTAATTTTACTTCTCTTACTCTATCACTTCTAAATTTTATCCTCTACTCTGTTAGAATTTAAGAGGCTATATTTAACATGTATATATGAATACCTATAATTTATGCTGTTTGTTCATATTTATATACATGTATATTTTTACAACATATATTTATTATAAGTGTGCATATATACTATAGAGCTGTGTGGTATACATCTTCTACAACATGTGGGTGGTATATACAGAGGGGAAAAAAAACCCTAGAAGAATATTTACCAAAATGTTAGTGATGCTGTCCCCTGAAAGATGAAATTATTTTTTATTTTCTGTTTTTTCTCATTTTCTTTTTGTTTATCTCAGTTTTTCAAGTGGATTTTGTTTTGGTTTGGTTTGGTTTTGGTTTGATTTTCAACACTGGAGATTCTTCCTCTTTACTTTGTGTTGTTTTAATTATTTACATTCAAGTTTGTTACCATAAGTAGAACCCAGTGACTCGAGTGACTTTTTTCCTTTTTTTATGAATTCTTTTAGAATGAGAAATTCACAGTGCACTTTCCTGGTTAAAATATGTGGTGTCCATTCGTTCAGCCTGTTTTAATGTATTCCTTTACATCTATTAAGTGAGTTAATGAATCTTAATTGTTTTTGTTTCTTTTTTATTCTGTTTTGGTTTATTTCATTTGGATTTTCTCTTAAATTGTTTCTTTTACTTACTTTTCTTACTACTTTCTACTTGGATTTCCTTTTGTTTCCTCTTGGTTGTTTTCTTCTTTTTTACCTTGTCATTTAGTTCCCTGTCACCATTTGTTGTATTTTTCACTTTTTATCTTTTACTGAATATGGCAAACACAAAGCTGAGGATGGTATCCTTAAGAATTGCTCATAACTTGACCAAAGAGACTGGACCTTTTCCCTTCTAATTAGCCCTGTGGTCACCTCCTTTCATCCCTAATATCTTAAAGCAGAACTACTAAGTTTTTCAAATACTAAGCTGGAAAATTAGAGAGGTTAACTGACTAGAATTATCTAGCAAGCAAATATTAAATCCATGGTTAGCATCAGGAAGGATGATCTCACAGCATAACTATACATTCAGCTAATGTCTGTGTACCTCTCGGTCACACATCTTTCCAAAGCCCGGCGCCATGGATCTACCTGTGTCTCTATATCTGCACTCAGAATCAACATGCCAAAATGGAACCTATCATTCCTTCACGCCTCCAGAAAAGATAGTCCTCCTTGCCCCCCTTTCTTCTAAAGAAAGGGAACTCCTGGGGCACCTGGGTGGGTCAGTGGGTTAAGCGTCAGACTAATGAAATTGGCTCAGGTCATAATCTCAAGGTATGTGGAACTGAGCCCCGCATCAGCTTTGTGCTGACAACACAGAACCTGCTCAGGATTCTCTCTCTTTTTTCTCTGCCACTTCCCCTCTCTCTCAAAATAAATAAATAAACATTCAAAATTAAAAAAGAAGAAAGGGAACCCCTCCTATGCCTCTGAACATCCCACAGAGATTACTGACATTGCCATCAACCAGGTGCCTGAGTCAGAAACTTGGGGATAATCCCATACTCTCCTTCCTCCCTGGCTCCCACACCACATTACCCAATTCTGCCTCTGTACTGCCTGTCCAGTTCTGCACTTTTCCAACTGGAATATGAGGACTGCACATGGGCAGAAATGTGCAAAGAGGTAATATATGAAAGCACAGAATGAACACAGTGAATGTTCCTGGAATGCCCTCCTCTCCTTTGTCATCTTCATTGTAATAAATAATTTCAAACATCACATGTCATAAAAATAAGTGAATATATTATGAGGGATTCAAAATGATGGTGTGTAAAGAAAGAATGTGGGGCTATAAAGTGGGATGCTTAGGACTCGTGGGCTATAACCCCAAAGCTTACACAATTACTCCCCTATGTTACTGGGATGCTTTGGCAGAAATATTTTTTTTTACTCAGAGTAATTCTTCTGTCCTTAAGGATTGCTTCTGTCTTGACCAAGACCTTCCCTACTCTTTCTGTGCTGCCACAGCACTTCTTCATTTCCCTCTGGACCACTGGGACAGCCCCCACCCTGGTCTGGCTGGAGACTCACTCAGCTCCAAATCACCCCCATATGGATACCGGCCTCAGAATAGCATGTGCAAAACACTAACCTGATCGTGTCATTTTCATGTATGAGACGATTCGGTGGCACCTACTTGATGCAGAATAAGGTAAAAGTGCCTTCGTACGACATGTGATGCTCGTCAGGTCTGTCCCCTGCACTCTCAATGTTCTCAGCTCTGTCCAGCCTCCCCCGCGTACTATGAGCCACTTGCACTCTGCCAAGCACAGCCCTTCTCAAAGACCTATGCTTTTGCACACATGTTCCACTCACCTACTTTATCTAACGTACTGTCGTACTCAGTTCAAGCATCACGTCCGAAAGTCCATTCTGGATTCTCCGGAATTATTTGGTTCCTCTCTTTGGTGCCTGCATAGCACTCACTTTTGGCAGCCCCCAACCACAACCCCTGTCCTCTTACACATGGTTCCTTAAAACAGGATCGTGTGTTATGCATCTCGACTCTCTACTCTACTCTGTAGTTTCTCTGGGATAATTGCTAGGGATACCCCCCTTTGCATCAGGAAGTCTCAAATGCAGTGCATCAGCCAGCTGCATCAGGATCAGCTGGAATATGTTTTCAATGTAAAGATTCCTTGTTCCCTGCAATTTTGACTCAATACTTCTAGATGAAAGCCCTGTGGACTATACCAAAACCTCTTTATAAATGATAATAACTTTAAAACTCCCCAGCTCATTCTAATGCAGCCTATCTGTGGACTAGCATTTGGGCCAACTGCATTCAACAATTGGGATTATCTTGATAGGATTTAAATATTAAAACAGCAACAACATACTTTGATTTTACAGCAGTTACAACTGCCTTCCTAAAATGAGTTAATTTAATATATTCTTTTCTTACCAAAATGTGGTATTCCTGCAGTTGGATAACACAGTATATATTAACTATTAGTATCAATTTCAATATGGGGGTCTGCTTCTGATTTTGTTTTCAAATACTTTACTTTTTTTTCCCTTTTTTTTTCCTTTTCAAATTCTTGAGAACTTCTTACTGTGGATTCCAAGTCCTTAACTACTACAGTAATGAGAGTTGTATGCCTTCCACCTACAAAAAAAATAACCTAGAAATTCAGTTTCAAAATTGTGGCATAGAAGTTAGAGGAACAGGGGTGCCTGGGTGGCTCAGTCAGTTTAGCATCTGACTTCAGCTCAGGTCATGATCTCAGGATTCGTGAGTTCAAGCCCCACATCGGGCTCTGTGCTAATAGCTCAGAGCCTGGAGCCTACTTCAAGTCCTGTATGTGCCTCTCTCTGCCCCTCCCCTGTTCATACTCTGTCTCTCTCTTAAAAGTGAATGAACAGTGTAAAAAAAAAGAAGAAGAAGAAGTTAAAGGAAGAATATGGGTCTATTTCTCTCAGTAAAGAATCTCATAACAACCTTTACTGCCAAGCTTCTGGCACTAGCATCTTTGAAGAAGAGGGAAATGGTTGGACGCAAGTGATAACTGCACAATGATAAACAAGAACACAAAAACTCAGATAGGGAGTTCTTCCAACATCCAAGTTAACTCCCATCAGTCACATTGGTTTTGAAAACAGACAGATATATGGTGAATGACATTTAGTAAAATGGTGTTTTAAGAACAAACCAGCCCTTGGGGTGCCTGGGTGGCTCAGTCAGTTAAGCGTCCGACTTCAGCTCAGGTCATGATCTCACGGTTCGTGGGTTTGAGACCTCGTCGGGCTCTGTGCTGACAGCTCAGAGCCTGGAGCCTGCTTCAGATTCTGTGTGTGTGTCTCTCTCT